CTCTGTGCTGTCGGGCTGGTCAGTGAGGGGTTCCCCCTGCTGAATCTTCAGGACCCACCGAGTCCCTGCTCACTTATCCCTTGGGGATGTGCGGGCCCAGCATGGGCACCTCCGCCTCCCTCCCCTAGCCATGGCCCTGCCCAGCCCCACTGACCTCTTACCTCAGAGTGGGGTGGGAGCCCAGGGCTGACCTGGCCCCAGCTCCAGCCTCCCACAGGAGACCAATGGGCTTCCAACTGGTAGAGATGGTGGGAAAACCTCTCGAGCGAAGGCAGGTAAGTGGGAAAACATAGGGGCTGCACAAGGAACCCCAAGTGATTCCGCAAAAAAGCGAGCTCGTGTAGGAAAGAGCCTGGAAGCGGGTGCCCTGGGGTCGGGACACTCCGGGCTGGCCGGGCAAGCCTGGGCCTGTGCAATAAGGCAGGCCGGGAGAGTCCGCTGCAGCCTCGGCTCCTCTTCCTCCCTGTGTCCGCCCCTTGCCAGACCCTGGGGCCTGGTCTGTGGAGTCATCAGTCATTATTTCCACTAATTAATTTGTAAAAGGCTCTTTAAAAAACAACTTTTTTTGGCCAGGCTCAGTGGCTCACACCTGTGGTCCTAGCACTCTAGGAGGCCGAGCTGGGAGGATGGCTTGAGCCCAGGAGTTCAAGACCACCCTGGACAACAAACCGAGACTCCTTTTCTACTAAAACGAAAAACTTAGCCAGGCATGGTGGTACGGGCTTGTAATCCCAGCAACTTGAGACTGAGGCAGGAAGATCCCTTGAGCCCAGGAGTTCGAGGCTGCAGTGAGCTATGATGGGTGGCACTGAACTCCAGCCTGGGTGACAGAATGAGAGCCTATCTCTAAAAAAAATTTTTTTAATTAAAATTAATTTAAAAATTTAAGATAAATTAAAAAAAAAATTTAGGCCAGGCACAATGGCTCATGCCTATAATTCCAGCACTTTGGGAGGCCAAGGGAAGAGAATTGCTTGAGCCCAGGATTTTAAGACCACTGGGACTAAAGGCACAGTCACCACCCTCTGCTAATATTTTTTTAGTTTTTAGTGGAGATGAGAGGGTCTCACTATTTTGCCCAGGTTGATCTCCTATCTCTTGGCTCAAGCAGTCCTCTTGCTTTGGCATCCCAAAGT